GAGCTGTCTTCTGGAGATTAGAGATGCTCAGATTGCAGTGGACTGCGTCGAGGTGTTTACGAAAGTTAATGGTGATAGTTCCTAATGCGCCTATCACCACAGGGACGATTGTGACCTTTCGTAAATTCCAGTTCTTCTTAATTTCTCTTTTTAGGTCTTGATATTTCAGTATCTTTTCTTGTTCTCTATCCAGGATCCGGGTATCTCCTGGGACTGCAACGTCAATGATGGTTGCTGCGTTGGTTACCTTGTCTACCAGGAGGAGATCCGGTCTGCAGTGTTCGATAACGTGGTCCGACTGGACATGGAAGTCCCACAATATCTTGACTTTTTCGTTCTCCAGCACCTTCTCTGCCCGGTGTTCGTACCACCTTTTACTGCGTGGGAAGCCGTATTCCTTGCACAGACTCCAGTGCAATGCGGCAGCTACTTTGTCATGCCGACACTTATATTCTGTCTGTGAAAGTTTTGGGCACCCATTCAGTATGTGGTCTATTGTCTCGTAATGATTTCTGCAGAGTCTGCAGAGGGGAGAAGAGCCAGGTGTTTTGTCAATCCTGTGCTTCACATAATTCGTCCTAAGTGCTTGGTCTTGGGCTGCTATCAACAATCCTTCTGTCTCCTTCTTCAAGTCTTGTTGAGTGAGCCAGTTCCAAGAGGTTAACGGGTCCGCTATACCCATCATCTGCCTTGGGAACTGTCCGTGCATCACTTTAGCAGTCCACTTCTCCTTGCGGATTTCCTCGCGTTGTGTTCGGTCGATATCTTTCTCTATCTCTTCACCCAAGAGTATCTTGTCTTTGACAAAGTAGTCCTTCAGAGCAATCAGTTCTGGGTCTCTACTTCTCACCACATAAGTGGTGAGTGCATTCTCCTCTCTCTTTACGACTTCCTCTATACTATGTAGCCCACGGCCACCCAGTTGACGGCTTACGTATAACCGATCAACATCTCCTTGGGGGTGGTGAGCTCCATTTATCCTCATAAGTTTCCGGGTCTTGACATCTAAGGCTTTGGTCTCTCCAGCATTCCATGAGAGAATTCCAGCTCCATATCTTATCACAGGTACAGCCCAGGTGTTAATTGCTTGTATACTATTCCTGCCATGAAGCTGGGATTTTAAAACCTTTTTAACTCTTCTGATATACTCCTTTGTAACCAGTGCTTTCATCTCTTTGTGCAGTATATCATTGGCTTCTAGTATTCCCAGATACTTATAGCCCTCGTCCTCCAACTCATGGATCTGTTCACCTGTGGGTAGGGAGATGCCTTCGAAAACGGCTCTTGCTCCCTTCTTCACCTTCACCACGGCACATTTCTCTAGTCCGAATTCCATTTTTATGTCACTGCTGAACTCTGCTGTGGTATTAACCAGTGTTTGCATTTCGTCTTCACTCTCGGCATACAACTTGAGGTCGTCCATGTATAGCCTATGTGACACTTTCGGTCGACCTCCCTTCTCCAGAGAGTATCCTATGTCATGCTTATTCAAAAGAATGGATAGGGGTATAAGACTCATGATAAAGTGAATAGGTGATACTGAGTCTCCTTGGAATAGACCTCTATTAATTTTAATTCTCCCAAGGGAAACTTTACCAAGCATCAGGTTAACATACGATTGTTTGAAGGAGGCTTCAAACAGATCTATGATGGATGAAGAGATACCACACATGGTCAAACAAGACAGAATCCAAGAGTGTGGGACGCTATCATACGCCTTCTTGTAGTCTATAAACGTCATGTTCAGGTTCCGCTTCCTTCGTTTACAGTTCTTCAGAATGAGTTTGTCTATCATTAACTGTTCTTTACATCCTCTGCTCTTCTTCTTGCACCCTTTCTGCTCAGGGGGGAGGAGTTTTTGCTGGTCTAAATGGTTGTATATGGAATCTGAGATTAGACCAGTGAACAGTTTCCACATAGCTGATAAGCATGTAATAGGTCTGAAATTGCCTGGGATGGGTCCTTTGGAGTGGTCCTTTATGAGCAGGTACGTGCGTCCCAATGTCATCCAGTCAGGGATATCAGCGTTGGTTAGGCAATTCATAAGTTGATCTGCAATCCTATTGTGGAGTTCTTTAAAGTGCTTTATCCAATAAGCATGCAGTCCGTCTGTACCAGGAGAGGACCAATTGGTCATTTTCTTCACTCTATCTGCAACCAGGGTGTTAGTTATAACAAACTGTCGCTGTTCATCTGCTGAGGCTAGTGCTGTTCTGACATCCGGTAACCATTCAGCATCACTGTTATGTTCAACCGGCTGCTCCCATATGTTCTTCCAGAACTTCAAACAAGAATCCTTGTCAGCCTCAGGGTGGGAGATATCCTGTTCTTCAGGGTTTGTTTGAAGGTTTCTGTAGAACTGCCTCTGGTTGTTTCCAAACAACTTGTTCTGGTGGTATCGTTCGCATCTTTTATTAAATCTCTTTATCTTAGCTGCTTTTGCACGAAGACGTTGCTTGAGCTCCTCAATGATGCATGATATACCCTTTTTCTTCAACAGGGGGTGACGTCTGTTGAGCCCTTCTAGTATTTTTTGTTTAAGGGTAATACCTTTCTTCTTCTCCTCAAGATAAGAGATGTCTTTCCTCACCTGGGTAATCTTATCTTCGATTCTTCTTTTCCATAGCGGAGTTTTCCGCTTCTCTGCATTCTTATTTGCAGGTTTTTCACCAAGTCTTTCGCTGACTAAATGTGCTCCTGCAAGCAATAGAGTGTTGGTTTCAGTGATTGAAGAAGTAGGAATCTCTGCTATACATGAGTTGATGAGAGATGTTTCCTCCATAAGCTTCTTTCTGTTCACATGTCTCAGGGGCTTGGTTTCTATCACTGAAGGGTCTTCTAAGAGGGTTTTTAGCCGCTCAATGATTGCCTCCTTGTCAAAATCAGGTACCGTTGCGGTGGGGGTGAGTTCTTCGGCGGCAACAGTTGGGATAGTTGCATCCCTCAACGTCCTGATTGCTTGGGAGACTGTGGGTAGAGCTTGAGTTGTCGTTGTTGGAGCCTCTTCCACTACGCTAGGTGGAAGAGTACCTCGAATCTCCAGTAGTTCTATGTCTGAGAGGAGATTATTATTTCTGATTGACCTTGCTTGGTCTGCCAATCTTTGTTCTGTACAAGTGAAGAGTCCGGCATCATCCCACAGTGACCGGAGTCTCCTTCTGTAACCAGAGCGGGATGGTTGGCTCTGGTAATACAGCGTCATGAGCTGTATGTTGTCCTCCTTGCTCCACGTGTGACGAGTGGAAGTCTCAGTGCGAGCCTTCCTCTCACGGCGAGTTGGAGGGGCGATGTTAGGTTGTTGATCCTGCTCTGACCCATTAGTAGGGAGAGTAGGAGAGTTTGAAAAATTTGAGAGAGAATTCATATCATAACTTGATATACCCCCTAGAGAGTTGGCAGGGAAAACAGAGCACTGAGCGTTGCCCCGCGTCGCCCAGCTCCCCAGGTAGCTACCTCCTGGGTAGTAGACCCGTTAGTAACCATTTAACCCATGGCCACACATCCTTTTGTCACGAGTCCACAACTTAAGATTGGGGGACATCTGCGGGTCAGTCCATGCCCGGAAAGAAAACCACTAGGTGTCAATTGCACCTAGTCAAGAAACCAAGAGCTAGAGCAGAAGGATAAAAGATTTTTACCAACGAGAGTCAAGAAAGGGAATTAACCGGGGGACAAGTAACACCAAATACAAGGATATATATAACATAATTTCAATTACAATGTAATTACTAATACAATGGGTATGGTAAATGGTAACACTATAAATAGTAATTATTTATTAAGGATGGAGAATCTTTCAGTACTGACCGTCTATGCTGCTATGATAACGAATAAATATATAATAAGGGGATAAATCTTAAAATACTGCTGTTTCAGTCACAGATACTTTTCTTGGTTTTTCCATTTTGTGCTTTTTTTGTCTTTTTTGTTTTTAACTTTTTTTTGTAATTTTCTTTCTTTTTTTTTTGTTCCTTCCTAAACATGAATTTTAAGCAATTACAAAATCTCACGACAACATTAAATGATGTTGAGAAGGACAATAGAGCCTGAGGTTCTGGTGGTCTACAGGTGTTTCACCAGCTGTTTGGTCAAGTTCTAGCCCGTTACTTGGACTAGTAACGGGGGAACTAACAGTGTTAATAGTTTAAACTTTGTGCTATAACTGAACCTCAGGAAGAAGACATCTGGCAATGCCAGGGAGTGAGTAGCTCTAGCCGGCAGCCATCCAATGGACTGCTGCCGTTACCGACCCCGGGGGTGCTGACCACGAGTATCAGCCTCGGACCCACTACTCACTAGCTCTGGTGTTCTGAGCGGGGGCCTTATTATTATTATTATTACTAATTGTAGGTAATTATTAAAGTATATTAAATTATGTAGGTTTTTTCCCGATTTTGACCCGGGGCCGGGATATACTTAATAGTATACTTTACTATACTAATATGGTTGCCCCCAGTGGTATTAGCTACTGGACAGCTTGAAGTAGGTTACAGATATCAAAATTCACCAAAAACCAATAACCTAATATCTGATTGGCAAGACAGAAATTATCCTTCGCCATTCGCTATAATGTATAATTGATAATAGGTGAAGGCCAATGAGTTACTGGGCCGCGCTCAGCCTGTCATTCCGCCTAATCTCTATTCGTTATGTTAATGAACATAATAGCCTGGGGTCCCCAGGTAACCAATGAGTCGCTACTACAAAATGTAGTACCCGTGGTACGTACGTACGTACGTGCGCGCGTCCGGATTTGCGTCACCCACATTACTAAACTATTTACAGCGTCTTCCAACTCTTGGTAAAAGAAGACCGTTTATAAGAGTAGTGACAGCCATCGTGTCAGCGGGCATCGTAATGCATGGCACTTTGGAATTAAGATGCATAAGTGATCCCTTTATTGAAAGATCTATCTTGCGGAATGAAAATTAATCAGTAGACTGTAATCGACCAGGATTTAACCATATTTTATAATTGAAAAACACGAGAAATACGAACACTAATCAAGGGTTAAAAGTGGCTTTCAACATCACAATATAACAATAAATAAACCTAGGTAAAACGATAGGCAATCAGATAGACATTTCTCTGGCGAAGAAAAGTTCATTTACTGTGTTTGATCTTATGGAGAAGATATCCTATCTGATGTCTCATAACTGGTTGTCCATGTTTTGTTTTGGCTGTCATTTTCTTCTTGTAAATAGCTCTTTGGCCTTGCCGTTTTGTCATCTCTTCCTTTTTTTCTTCGTCACCTTTTTCAGCTATGTTTTGAGCCCTTTCCTCTTTTACCTGTTCGATTAAAAAGTAAAGGAAATGTAAGAATGCTTCGGATAATAGTAAAATGATACGTACAATAAATAGATCTTATTAACAAAACAAACATACGATAAAATTCCTTACAAAGAGGACGTTAATGCACTAATAATCACAATACTGCCCTAACAAAACAACAAAACATACCTTAGCAGATTGTTTCTGAGCAACTTTCAACAGGTCAGTCTTCTTCTTATCCCCATCAGTCTCTCTCACATCTTGATAGAGCCCCGCCTCTATCCGGGCTTTTTTCAGCTCCCTCAGAGCTTTCCACTTGTGTTTCCCTATTGGTATGTGGATCTGGGCCTGGTCTCCTTTTAGCTTTCCTAGTCTTCTTTTTGAGGGGTTGTGATGGGGGTTTCCCCCTCGTTGTGTCTTGTTGTTTGTCTTCATATTGTCTTGGTTACGTCATGTTTTCTAGAGCTAAGCAGGGTAGTTATTTTACAGATGTCTGCTGACTAGTGATTTAGAAATTACGAATTTTAATTTAAAACTGAAATTCATGTTGCGATGTACTTATTATATCCTAAAAGAAAAGCACGATATCAAACAAAGTTGGTCAAGAGATCAATTATTATCAAATTACAAAATTTACAAAATAAAAGAAGGAAATATAATATTTAGAGACGCTCTCATCTTTGCACATGTCACCCTTTACAACACGTATCAGCTAATACAATATGATAACAGCCCGTCTGTTAGCTCAACAACTCAAACGGGGACAACACCTAGCAATACGGATTCTCTCCGAGTTCCTTGACTCTTAAGAACCAACTGGGAGTTGGTTTTGCTTGAAAGTCCAGTACTTCACTCTGATACTGTCCAGATCTTTTAACTTTTCGAATACCTGTGGAAAAGAAATGGTTCAGTAAAATTCAATAGAAATCTCAGAAAATAACAAATCAATCAGTTCATTAGGATGGTATTTTGTCGTCACATTGTCCCCCAATCTAAATCATAAATGCTGCGTTTGCTCAATATTCTTACGTTGCTAGCAGCGGTGTTGTTGCCCTCTTCTACATGTATGTCAGCTAGTGTACTAAGAAGGAAGGGAGATGGAATGTGGGACTCGTTCATACCTCCGCATAACTCCTGAGAGAAGGGGTCTGTTAAAATACACAGATAACTCACTGTACACACATTACACACAACTCTTGAGAGAAGGGGTGTTAGTGAGTTCTAGTAAATGGCATAATGGGGGCCATTTTAGAAAATACAGTGGAAGAAGTAAACTTCGAGCGTATTGTAAATTTGTGATTTAAGTGTAAGCTTGTTCGGATTATAACCGTAAATTGAGAACTAATAGTGTATACAATATACATACACTATTATACTTAAAATTAACTGCATTTAGTGGTATTGTATATGTAGAGCATTATTATAGTGCATTCTGTGTGATTTATAATAGAACATTAATGGATGAAATGCAGAAGCTGGAACGAAAACACAAGGAAGCATACCTTGAAAGAGGGGAAGTCTGAGTATTTCATCTTGTTCTTCTTGATGATTCCTCGAGCGTAGTTCCAGGAGGACTCGTTGTTGGGAGCTTTCTTGATGTAAGTGCCAGCGTACTCCAGCTCCTTATTGACAGTTTCTTTACTCCACCCTTGCTGGTATAATCATTGGTCGTAAGTAGAATAAAAAAAGACCTATTTGACGTGATCAGTCAAATGAGATTGGATAATTAAACCTGCAATTTTTACCAGTGGGCCCAAATTCCACTGTTTTGACTGCAATTTTCTTGAATGATCATGAGGATGGCACTGAAAGTTTTATTTTCAAACAAAGCTGTGATAATCAAATAATGGGAGTTAACACTTTTTGGTAGGTACAAATGTTGCAATAAGGGCACTCACTGAATTTTCAATGACAAAGTATCGGTGATTCCAAGCTGAGTTGTTCCTCAAATCTTTTGTTAACAATTCGTCAATATACTCGAGTTCTTTATCCCAGATTTTATATTGAGATAGCACCTGTGAATTTATTTAGTCATAGGGTTTAAATACGAAATAGCAACAAAAATAAAGTATAATTTACGTAACTTATCATAGACATGATCTTCTAAAACTGAAATAATGCATAGAAAAGAAAACAAAGTAGGAGTAACACAAGAAACATCAGCTTGCTCACCCATTGTCGGTGATCCCATGCGTGGTAATTCTTAGCGTCACTTGACAGGGTGTATTCAGTGAGTTCTAGCTCTCCAGATGGATCTCCTTTCATCTCTATAATACATCTTCTGTGATGCCACACCTGGATAGTGTAGTGTTACTTAGGTTACTAGCGTTACTAAGGATACTTGTACAGAACAGGATGCTAGATGAACGGTTATCATGGCGACTTGAAATTAATCTCCTTTCTGACCTTGGTAGTTTATGAAATATTAATGTATGAACAGGCTCCGACCAACTTGATAGCTCTTATCCTGGACTGACCTGGTAGTTTTTCGGTTGATCGTCGATTACGGATTCTGTGAACGTCATTTCGTCTTGGAGATCCCTGATGTAGATAAAATGATCGTGAATATTTATAGAAAACCGGACGAAAAAAACAGAAAATTATTTGCAAAATGGGTTTAAAACTTCTAAGTAAAGCTCCACAAAAAACTAAGACTCACACTTTAAGATGTCTGAGGATTTCCCGCCTATAGTGCCAGACTGTGTAGTTAGCAGCATTACACTCTATAGCGTCTGTGGTGAGGGCCAGTGCACGCTCGCTGTACTCTTTATTCTGCATTATAGCCGCCATGTAGCTGTACACATCTTTGAACCTGATGATTATTTCGATTTCTAGGTATTATAATTGGTTCGTCGATAAGTGGAAAAAGAAGTTTTATTCTGGCATATTGATATGCAGTTGTCATCTGATAATGTGATCAGTTTAAAACGCCACCAAGAAAAAAGTTTTTTTTTCTTTGATAAAATACGAGCCTACCTATCAGAGTACATGATCTGAACAACCGGCTCATTCTCACTGTACGGCAGCGGAATGGGAGTTATATCCTTCCAATCTGGTTTATCAGCGTAGAAAGTCATTCCACTGTGCTAGGAGTGAGGAGATTAATAAAAAGAGAAATATATATTATAGATAAGAGTTGATAAGATAACGAATTAAGTCCCACTTGCACTTGACGTGACTATTTTCAAGAACATGTTGTATAATTTAATTCGTTAATTTTTCAAGGATACACAGAATATCACATATTATAAATAAAATTTAAATAAGTTATATTATTAACTCTATATTCACCCTACCATAGAACTGATGAACAAAATTTAAAACAGGATAAAATAAATGTTGGTCATGAGTGATAAATACAGTAAAAATATGTCAATTCTATCATCAAAAATCAACTTCTGTAAACCTATAAGATTGAAGCCCCTTTCCAATGAAAATTAGGTCGCAATTCTAAATACTTCATGACTCATAGATGACTAACTTCATTAGATAAGTCTGAATTACCACGTTCTTCATTAGGTGTTCTGGAAACATAACGTGCATTAAAGCAGTAGAAGGGTTTGGGCAACTTTGCGTTGATATACTTAGTAAACCCAAACTCATCAGTGCGAGTAAACACCAGAGAAATAGTATTATCTTGAGGCGGTATCACCAGCAGAGGTTCCTTATCGGAGTGAGATATGAAAGATACATATCCTCCAGCGTCCACATCGTACTCTGGATGTACCTCCGTATGGTAAAATATATGAAGGAGATCAGGAAGGTTGTCAACTTCTTGGTCACAGAGAAGAGAGTAAAACCCATGATCCCATCGTGATACTGATGATGATATCATTCCAAAGGGTTTATTGGAAAAATCATCGCAGTCTGGATCGTCGTAATTGGTAGAAAGAGGTAGCCCAGTAAAATGGGATAAAAGTAGAGCAAATGCATCAGTCTTCAATAATTCCATAAACTCTAACACTGTGGCACTTTGTTTGTTACACACTTGGTACTTTTTCTTGTCTCTGGGACCAACTGTCGCCCAATCCATAGATTGTAGAGCCGCACATAGAGCAGAATATTTCTCAGGATTGAGAAACTCTCCAAGAGATACTTCGGAATCCTCTTGGAATTTTTCCTGAACCTCTGAGCTGATTTCCAAGTTGAGATACTTGAGGGATATCCAAGATTTTAGTACATCAAGGTCACTATCCATGGGCAGTATTGGCAGCATAACAAATTCATCGACAATTGGATTAACAATTGGGGAATCTTCTGAGTGGAACCAACCACTAATAGACCACCTAATATCGTCCTCAAGTATCTCAGAAACTTGATGCCATGATTTTGCTGAAACTTCAAACCAACTAAATGTATTAAATTTAGGACACAAAGATTTCCCTACGTCTGTTGGATTTCCATCTTTGTCTGAGTTGAACAAATCCAGAGTACCACCAGATTCAGGACTCCATGTTTTAGGAACTAAGTACAGAATAAAAGCTGTATGTCTTGTATTCAAGCAATCTGAATGGCAAAGTAAATTATCGTGTTGCATGAACTTTATTCCATGCATATCCACTGTGTTGTTGAAAGATGAAGATGTTACTTTTTCAATGACAGTTTTAACTTCAGTGTAGATGAAATCTCTGACTGCTGAAATGCAGGGCGTTTTAACATCATTAAGATCAATTGTCTGGTGGAGGGACAGTAGATCATTTTCTTTAAATGTAAAGTCCATGTTTTGAATCTCTTCTAGTAATCCCATGGCAGAGTCATTCTTCAGGATGTCATGAAAGGTGCACACTTTAAACGGATCCACATTCAAATTGTAACATTCAGTTTTAGAAGCCTTTTGTGATTGCCCATAATGTTCTTTTAGGCTTGATATTACATCATCCTGCTCAAGTCCATTCAGGAAATGCATACTAGGAAAAATTTTGCGTTTCTTTGCCACCGCCATTTCACCTTGTTACTAACAAAAAGGAGTACTTTGAGTGATAATTTTGTATGTTAATGTCAAAATGAAAATATAACAAAGCCCTATTTATCAAATCAATCTCACAACTTTTTATAGAACTGCAGAACCTCACACAGTACCAGAAGTAAGTAATATGTAATCCCAAAGTCTACCCAAATTTCCTTCAGTGGAAGGACCATATTGAAGGGAGCCTCTTCGTTCTCTCCAGCTCAAAATACGAACCAAGATGACATATATCAGAAAAGTGTATCATACTTGTAGAATTTGAAAACCGTGTGAGCTCTGAGCTACAAGCCGTGTTTAATGATTTTTAGACCTCATAGCAAATAAAAGATGTAGACGTTGTAAATATGTTTTAAGGCGCCATGACCCCATTGCCTGTTGGTGCATATGGTCTTAGGTAAAAGGAGCACCGCCCGATGAGCCGTACTGTATTCCCTATATGTATACGGCCCTATGCATATGTATCCATTTTATCACGCAATCACAACTTTGAACATGTGGCAACATTGAACATGCGGCAAAAACCTTGCAAAGTGTAATATTATCAAAATTGCCAAAAAATTAATAGTTCGCGAGGTGCGGCAAAGCGGCAAAGTCCTTCAATCAAAATTAATATATTTATTAATACAAATTACTTGAAATACTAATTTCAACTTTTGTAAGAAAATAACAAGCTCAAAATGCAAAAACAATGTTGTTTTATTTGTCCGCAAAAAGCAGAATAGCGTGAATAGTATAGCTTTATCAAAATACCTTGATCGAACGTGCAATCTTTTGACGGATGTTACATGTCTAAATTTCTTCGAAGTAGCGCGCGCAGATGGCAAGTGCTACGAAGTAGCGCGCGCCGGGCCAGACTTGTAGGTTTACAACCTACCAGGACGTGTGCCGAGTTGGACTCGTCGACGGTCCAATATATGGAACAGATATTTTAAGAGTATCACCCGTTAAGGCCAGACCATTAACAATGGTCAAGCAATCTTAAGCGATTCACGATCACCGTTACATTTTGGTCGTCGAACGCCAACTTATAACTTATAGTGCAAAATCAAGCAAGTTATAAACATACTTCATACGATACATATCAAATTTGCCTCTGCACTTTGTAGCCCCGCGTCGCACGAACGAGTTCGCGGCTTTCACCACTTAGTGAAACGAAAATGAAGGTCACGACGTGTTAGACGCTTAAATCATAGCTAGCTGTCATGTATGTAGCTGTGTGTGGCGCTTTTTTTCAAGCTCCTGGAATAATAAAGTAATTTGTAGCGCAATGCGTTACTGTGCCGCGCCGCACACTCAATTATGCTTTAAAAAAAGTAAAGTAAAATTTATGACATCACATCATCACACATGTCTACAAACTATCATCGCACTGTGTGAAAAAATATTATATAATAAATATTTCCCCACCAACATTAATTAATTATCAAATACAATATTAAAAAAACAAATTCATCAAAAACATTATCCTATTTTAAAAACTTCCCAGTGGAATAAAGATTTATAAAACGCTTCTTTGCCACATAAGGATGGAACCAAAGATAATTGTTATGTTTCTCTTTATTACTGACATAACTGGCTCCCTCAATTCTTACTAAAACTTCATTAGAAACATTCCAAAAAAAGCAATCATTTGTAATACTTTTAGAAATCATATCTATCTTATATCCTTCTAATTTAATTTTAAAACCTAAAACTGTCACAGAGTTCTTGACGTCCGGAGGGAGTTTGTTCCAATATGGAATAACTCGCTCCGGGAGAAAAGACTTCTGGATATTCTTGACCTTTGTCACACTTTTACTACATCTATTGGATGAAACCAGATTAAGACCTGATCTGCTTGGTCTGAACAAGTCTGAACCATAATCAGTCATACCATTAATAACCTTAAAAGCTTCAATAAGGTCCCAACGTATTCACCGCTCTGCCAGCGTTGTCAAATTGAGGATTTCCAGTCTACGGCTGTAAGGAAGAGTACCCACCTCATCAATCAGACGGGTAAACCGCCTCTGGACGCTCTTCAGCTCCAAAACAGTCCCCCAACTTCCATGAGCCGCAGGTGGATTCCACAATTGGACACAATACTCAAGATGAGGTCTTATTAAAGCTTTATATATATAGCAATCATAACAACCTTTTCTCTAATAACCAAATTCCTTACAATCCAACAAATCATACGATTTGCCTTAGCGATACATGCTTTGATCTGTTCGTTCCAAAGCAGGGAGCTATGGGTAATAACCCCCAAATCTTTTTCCTGTGCAGATACTTCAAGTTCTATACCATTTACCTTATAATTTAAATTAGGATTGTTGTTAAAATTAATGTGCACTACTTTGCACTTGGCAGGATTAAATTGTAAAAGCCAAATACTAAGTAAAACAAAATTTTAAGTAAAACAAAATTTAAATTTTATTGCCATTACAATGAATAATAATATCATAATAAATATAAGTAGACATCCGATAATAAACTTGTTACATCCAGTACAACCCAAGATGTCAGCAGACGCGACTTACAAAAATAAAGAAAGCTAGCATGTTCATTGTTGATAGTTTTTCTAACGAGCATACTTAGGCTGTACGGAAATAGCTTTAATGTTTAATTCTACGTCATATTAAAAACATTACATCATTTTTGTTAGATACAAAAATAAATTTTAAAATAAATAACTCTTTTGCTGCTAAGGCGCGGCACCGCACTGGGTCCACATGTTATACAGCATACAGCGTGTAGCAACACAGCGCTGAAAATATAAGATGATTGAGCTATAACATATAAGCGGTGCGCCGCGCCTAAACCTAAAACCATAAACTTTAAATTGTAAATATTGTCAAGATATTTAAACGAGTTTTGCGAAATAATATGACATGCTGACTTCGTAGGATATTACAATTATACCCGTGCCAGTTCCAAATGTGAGTCAGCGCTTAAACCAAAAGCAGTTGGCAAAAGGAGCCAGTTGCCTGCAAGAGCTTTACTAGCACCCGATTTACCACTTTTGGAGCACAAACTCAAACCTAAAACCGGCCAAGCACAAAAGTATGTTATCGCCACGATTGGGTGGATTGATTCCCAAAATATTTATCAGCACGCAGCACTAATAATATGAAGTTCATTATCGAATTTTAGATATGCCATGGATCGTTTAACACATGTATATATAAAAGGTTATTAAAGAATAATTAATGTTTGGTTGTTGGTATAAATCGATATTAATCAATTATTTAAAATAGTATTTGTGTTTGTTATCATTAACTATTGAGTTACGTTCGATTTAAATATTAAAACACTACTACAATACATTTCACAAAACAAAACGACGGGGACACAGAAAGGAGAAGGACAACACATCACACGGACGGGAACTGCTGCTGTTGACGAGTATCTGATTATATTAATTATGGGTCTCTTGTTCATTAAAATAGGTGTGATCATACTTCTAGAGTATATTGGGCTGACACAGTTGCTGCAAGGTTAACATTGGGGTCCAAAACCGGGAGTGTGATACAACTTATTTTCGCGTTACGTAGTAAGAGATACAAAATATAAGATATAAGATATAAATGACTGCAAGTTTACGGATATAGCGCGGCGCCATTTCATTATTCTGGCGCGGTAAATCACGCTGGGTAATGAAATGATAAAGTTATACAATGTTTAAGTTTCGCGCGCTACGTTTACACAATATATTTGTGAGTCCGTCCCACGTTCCAGACGAACACTCCAGACAAGTCCAGACACCAGTGTAAAGCGGATGAGCTGATCAGTGTTCTGTGTTATATGCGTGAATATATAGTTTCTATGTTTGAATGTGGTGTGTATTGTGTGTGTTATTTTGTGTGTGTAGAATGAAATCTATCTGGACTAGTTTGTGTGTTCTTATTATAGGCACATGTCATTTCCATCAAAGTTGAGTTCTGACCATTCATCAGTGTTTCCAGCTTTTTGAGCATTGAGTAGCATAGTTTTAATGCGACCTTTAACAAGTGCAATTGGGGACGAGAAGTCAATCTTACTAGAAGGTTTAAGGAATTTATTCCACATATTCGAGGCTTTATATACAAACAAATTGGTTGCAGCGGGGTTAATAAAGTAGTTATCACGTCGGGGTGACTTTTGAAATAGATTGTACATCGGTATTGGAGTGTGAAGTTTGATTATTTTAAACATTTCAAGTAGACAGTGGTACTTATACAAATTATGCACGCAGAGTATTTTGTTTCTGCTGAGAAGGGGTTTACTTGATTCTCGTTTATAGAAGTCGGCTCCAAGTTTTTGGGATCCAATTGGGCGGGTTCTAGCACATATTTTGAACTTATTACTGTATGCCTCTTGATCACCAAATAGAATACGAGTGCACTTTTTTTGAATTTTAAATATTGGTTCAAGCCTATTGTTCGATATGCCTCCCCAAACTGAGATCCCATATCCTAGATGAGATTAGAAGAGGGTGTGGTAGAGGTCATTATACAGCTCTTTAGGTATAAATCTTCTCATACGGCAGAGTTTACCGACTTCACACTTTAATTTAGAACTAAGATATGCAGTATGAGGTTTCCAGTTAAAGTTTTTATCTATAATAACGCCGAGGAATTTAGTTTCATCAACACGTTTAATGACTGTGTTATTCAACGTTAAAATAAGATCATTACTATTAGGTAGCGCAGCTGGTTAGAACGCCTGTCTTACAATCGTTAGGTTGCGAGTTCGAAACCCACTGACTGCCTGGTCGTGGGGTGAGCGTCGCCGACGTTCAGCTAAGGATCATGAATGGTCTATGCAGCCCCCCGGTCTACTCAGCCGAATACTCGAGAAATCGGGAGTGAGGGTTAAATGAGGAGCTGCACATTGCAGCAAAGTCTCGGACGAAGAAAGTATGGTACACACTACCTTAACCGTCACTGGCCAAAAAGATCCTTCGGCTTCCTGTAATTGGCTGGTTGCACTTGTGTAACATTGTGGCTGTTGGAATACACCGAAGTAAAATAAGTGTCTAGATAAATAAAAAAATAAAAAAATTACTACTACTACTACTAGTTACATCCTTCTTTCCTGGTGT